TTATAAAAGATACTGTTTAGACAAGACAGAAATTAAATGACCTCAACATATCACGTAGTCGGATCCTTGAGTTGAAATATGAAAGTGCCTGTGGAGGATCCAGGTCCTGGAAACGTGGTACCCGTGTTCAGAGCCCTACGTTTGGGAGCCAGGTGCTGGAGGCTGATAGAAAGCAGGCTCCACTGCCTGATTTTTAATACCTTGACTGTTCTGATGCAGACTCAGAGGATAAACTGAGTTAATCTAGGGATGGAGGTTTGCCATGGAATAAAACTAATGTAAGCAAGGGAGTTGGCTATAATGCCTGGATTTTAAACTACCTTCATAAGAGGAGAAGAGGAGAGAGTTCATATATGGCAGAAAGTAAAGTATAACATTAATAATCATCTACACACTATCCACGTTACAGTGAAAAAGAGCCTCTATTTAGTAACCACCTAACAGATAGTTGTTTGAACCAACATCTAAAACAATGGAAGATAAGCTGCTTTTTAATTTTGAGGTAAATTTTCCTTTACTTGAAACCACTGTAAAATATTGTAAAATTAAATTTCCTATAGTAATACTTCTAAGCAGAGTGAGAAAAAAGTTCCTACCTCATGATTGTAATCCAGGATTCCTTTTAAAATTTTCTTTAAATTGCTTATCTGTTTAGAGAGAGATAAAACAACTGGGTAAAAGTCAAGCATAGATCAAAATATAATTTAACATAAAAAATTTCTGAACCAACTAATCATTCTAGTTAATCATAAATATAAAAAATAAAACTCAACAGCATATGTGAATTCCATAATCACCAAAAAAGGACTATCAGTGGCTTAATTTATGTGATCTCAAGAGATTATAATAAAAAAATTAAGTTTCCAATCATGTTAAATTTTCAATGTTATGATCACACTGACAGAAATTGGAGGGTAATTGAACAACACTTAACAGTAAGATTAAAAGTATCAGATTTTCTGCAAGTAAAGAAAAAAATGTGCCATCCTTACTGAAAACATCCTCTAGTACTGTCTTCCCTAGAAAAATGGAGTTGCATCTCACATAGAGGTTAAATTCTAAAATTAGAGCATTAAGCGAAAATTACAGTCAAAATCAGGGTTGGAAATGTCTCCAAATTTTCTTCACTGTCAGAAAAGACTGCTGATTGTTCAGTTGAGCACCAAAGTAAATACTGAGGAGCCATATGGTTAAAAATATACTATGTTGAAATGCTAGTACAACACTCGGCACTGCAAGATACTTGTGGTACAAGAAGCATCCTCTAGAAGCAAGAGAGGGTGAGGGACCAACATGTTTCCTATCACTCAGCCACTCTAAAGTAAGGGTTCACTGGCTTATATGTTATCTGAGTGAAATGACAGGCACGATCACCTGCACTATTTTAAGCTGTTATTTTTTCCTTTTTTTTTGACCCATCTCATTCGGCTGATACTGTGTTAAGTTAAATGTGTATACTGTCCCTACCCAACATTAGTAGCTGAAGATGTCCTAGGACAGAAGTACACAGTAGGACAGAAGTACACAGTAGGACAGAAGTCACAGTAGAACCTGTGACTATCAAGTAACAGACACTCAATCATGGCAGTGCAATCCAGTGAAATCAGACGTATTTATTTCTAAGGGAGAATATAAACTGAAAACTTATTTAAAAAAAACTCATAAAGAAAACGAATATGTTCATATTTCTAGAAAGATTTGGGGACATGGCAAATATACAATATACTTTATTTCCTTTATTTTCGAATGTTTGGTTTTTTTTTTTTTTCATATTTTAACATTTAAAATTAACACGTCTTAAAAATCAATGTGTTCATTTAAAATGATAGTTGAGGGACGCCTGGGTGACTCAATTGGTTAAGTGTCCAACTTTTGATTTCGGCTCAGGTCTCTCAGGTCATGATTTCACTGGTTCATGAGATCGAGTCCCACATCGGGCTCTGCATTGAGTGTGGGGCCTGCTGGAATTCTCTCTCTCTCTCTCTCTCTCTCTCTCTCTCTCTGCTGCTCCCCTACTTGTTCTCTCTCTTTCAAAATAAATAAGCATTAAAAAAAATAATAATAAAATGGTAGTTGATTTCCTATTAATCCCAGTTCTGAATATTAAGAATATGATAAAGTTTTTCCCCTTCTCTATATTACTGTCTCTGCCACACTAATGATACTAAAGATGAAGACAGGATGTATGTTTATGTGCGTGTTCTGTGCATGCAAGTTGGGTAAAGAACTCCCTCTTTGGTCAAGATAGCAAGCAAATACAAAATGATTCGTAGCATTATTTTAAACATCCACAATTGTTTTATACATGTTATACCATATAAAAGTAATCATTTAATTGCCTCTTCTTGAAAGATTATTTAGAAATTAAAACAGTGGCTTAAACAGTGTTCATTCACTCTAGCTTAGTTTAAAAAAGGGAATTAAATGTTGGCAGACTCAATATTTAAGCAATCAGTGAATATTGTTCATCAAATATGTGTTTTATGAGAGAAATAAAAAGGGGACGCCTGGGTGACTCAGTCGGTTAAGCGTCCAACTTCAGCTCAGGTCATGATCTTGTGGTTCTTGAGTTCGAGCCCCACATCGGGCTCTGTGCTGACAGCTCAGAAGCCTGCTTAGGATTCTGTGTCTCCTTCTCTCTCTGCCCCTCCCCCATTCACGCCCTGTCTCACTCTCTCAAAAATGAATGTTTAAAAAAAAAAAAAAAAAAGAACTAAAATGACAAACTAAGCTTAACATATCTTAAGTCCAGGGACTTCACATGCTTACTCATTTGCATTTCTGAGTCTCTACCTGTCTATATCAAAGAGAAATGGGCAGCATCGTGGAGACTTGCAGAGATAAAACAGCTCTGTGTCTTCATTGTGATTATGGGAAACCACGTATCGATAGAGCTACACAGAACTGTACACAAAAACATGAAAAAACATAGATAAATCTGGTGAAAGCTGAATGAACTGGATTGCATCAATGTCAGTTCCTTAGTTTTGATATTGTATTATAGTTATGCAAGATGTAACCACTGGGGAAACTGGGTGAAAGGTACACAGAACTTCTCCGCACATTTTGTTTTGCATCTCCTGTGACTCTAGAATTATTTCAAAATATAAAGTTAAAAAAATAATTTAGTGGGTTGCAACTAATGTTTTTTAAAATCAAAACATCAGTGCACAGATTAAGGGAACTATATCTGCACATACATTTAGTTGACAGTAGGCTGCAATGTAAACTGTATTTCTTACTGTGGGTTCTAGTCAAAGAAGCTTGAGAAATAATGGAACTTAAGGCTACTAGGATAAAAATGAAAATATTTCATTCTGTGAGTGCTTTGGACTCAGTCAACTATAATCAGTATTTTCTCATTATTAGTAACAACACCAACAACTAACATTACATGTGCACTATCCTAAGTACGTTATATATACCAACTCATTTATTTCTGTGAGGTAGATCCTTTTACTATCCTCATTTTACAAATGGGGAATCTGAGGTACAGAACAGTTAGGAGGACTTCCCCAGACAGTAAATGTAAAGTTATGATATGAATACAGGCACTATGGCTCTAGAGTCCATGCCATTAGTCACGGTGCTTTACTAACTCACACTATGTATCTTTGTGAGCAACCTCAGGTTACCTCCAACCTTTAATTCTGGATTATTTCACTACAGGCTGTCTAGGTTTCTAAAGCTCACTGAACACATCAGATAAAATTCCAACAAATATTACACACATACTACTAAAAGACTATTTAACAGATGGAAAAATAAAAAGAAAATACCTTTAGCCTCCAATTATCTCCTACTTCGGTTTTGATTCTGTTCAGCCAATTTTCATCAAAATATGCAGGATCTCTGCAAATCAGAAAAAGCTAGCATATTAAGATCATGCAGCTATCAAGCTTAAAAAAAAAATGAAATCTATCCCTTAACTGCAACATAAAAATCTATTTACCACATACCAAGCAATTAAAGAACTCAGTCTGGACATTGGATGCAATTTTCGCAGATTTCTCTAAAATCAACCTATTACCAGAGCATCATAAAATATGCATGTATATATACATATATGTATACACACACATATATATACATACACACACACATATTTATATACACATCATATATAACGTATATTATGTATATATACATACATTTCCCCCCAAAAAACAAACTAGAAAAATGGGCGCCTGGGTGGCTCAGGCAGTTAAGAATCCAACTTCAGCTCAGGTCATGATCTCACATTCATGGGTTCGAGCCCCATGTCGGGCTGTGTTGACAGCAGGGAGCCTGCTTCAAATTCTGTCTTCTTCTCTCTCTGCCCCTCCCCCACTCACGCTCACACTCACTCACTCTCCGTTGGTAAACATTAAATTGGGATGCCTGGGTGGCTCATTCAGTGAAGCATCTGACTTTGGCTCAGGTCATGATCTCATGGTCCATGAGTTTGAGCCCCGCATTGGGGTCTGTGCTGACAGCTCGGAGCCTGGAGCCTGCTTCAGATTCTGTGTCTCCCTCTCTCTCTGCCTCTCCTCCACTCACTCTCTGTCTCTCAAAAAATGCATAAACGTTAAAAAAAATTAAAGGTAAACATTAAAAAAATAAAAATAAAAGTTGTAACATACAGTTGATATATTTATTTTATTTTTTTAACTAAAAAAATAAATTACTTATTTTGAGAGAGGCAGAGACAGAGAATCCCAAGCCACCTCCACACTCAAAGCGTGGAACTTGATCCCAACAAACCGTGAGATTATGACCTGAGCCGAAATCAAGAGTCAGACACTCAACCGAGTCACCCAGGTGCCCCTACGGGGGAAAAAAAAATTTTTTTTTAATGTTTATTTTTGACAGAGAGAGAGAGAGAGAGAGAGAGAGAGAGAGAGAAAGAGAGAAAGAGAGAGAGAGCGAGCGTGCGCGCATGAGTGGGGGAGGGGCAGAGAGGGAGGGAGACACAGAATCTAAAGCACGCTCCAGGCTCTGAGCTGTCAGCACAGAGCTTGACGCGGGGCTCAAACCCACGAACTGTGAGATCATGACCTGAGCCAAAGTTGGGCGCTCAACCAACTGAGCCACCCAGGTGCCCCTACAGTTGATACATTTAAAAAAAAAATTATAGAGGAATATGCTACCTTGGAATTAACATAATGTTTAGATACAATAATATCTAAAAAGTCAAAATCAATGACACAATTTTAAACAGACAAAAGAAATATATCAGGAAAAAAGTTAACATTAGCCTTTCAGTTAATATTTCAATGACCTCCATCACTTAATATTTTGAAGGTCACCAATAAATAATAAATGCTATTAAAATTTCAATTCCTTTAAACAGTATAGATTGAGAACCACTTTCTCAATGTAATACTAAGCATTAGACATGTTGGACATATGTGGACATGTGTCACGTGGACATATTTAAAACACCTGTGAATATACCTATACTTATTTTTCTTAGGAAAATCTCTCAAACTATGATAAATAGTAGAAAAAAAATTTTTTTTACCCTAGCATGATCTTCATTTTAAGGTTTTTGAAACCAATGCTCTATGACATTATTTGCTCAAGACCAGAGACTGAATACCTATGTTTATCCTGCTTTAGCAAATGCTAAGTCCAAAGATCTTTCCATAACACCACAACTGTCTCCATTTACCCAAAAAACATAATTGCAATGAAAGAAATATGTTAAAGGGAAAAAAAAAACTACATTTCAACTTATATTGTCACTCAAGCTGAAAGTACAATCTGTGCTTAATTTTGTTCATATAGTTACATGAAGTCACATGTTATTTATAATGTTTAATGTTACTATTAAGAAAGAAAAATAAATTTATTTAGGTATAAAATTTATGAAAAAACAGTTACAACTAAGTTACCTCTGTATAAATCTATTATTTTTTATTTTCAAATTTTTATTTATTTTTTATAATTATTTTATGATTGTTTTAAAGCTTGTATCAAAGTGAACATTAACTTTGTACCTACTTTTAAAAATAGCTTGAGTTAGAATTCACATACCATACAACTCATCCATTTAAAGTATACAATGCAATGGGTTTTAGTACATTCACAGAATTGTACAACCTAACCACAATCTTATGTCAGGACATTTCCATCTTCTCAAAAAGAAATCCTTAGCTACCTGTAACTCCCTATTTCCCTCTCTCTCTCTCTCCAGTCCCTGGGAATTACTCCTCACCCTTCTGTCTTTTTGGGCTTGCCTATTCTGGACATTTCATATAAATGAAATCATACACTGTGTGGTCTTTTGTGTCTGGCTTCTTTCATTTAGTATGGTTTTAGGATTCATTCATATCGCAGTATGTATCACCACTTCATTCCTTTTTATGGCTCAACAATATCCCATTTATGGATAAAATACATTTTGGTAATCTATGCATCAGCCATTGTACATTTGGGTTGTCTCTACTTTTTAGCTATTATGAATAACGATGCTTTGAATGTACTAGTTCTGTGTTGACATGTTTCATGTGGGTATATGCCTAGGAGTAGAATTGCAGGGTCCCGTAATAATTCGATGTTTAACATGTGAAGCAAGGTCAAACTGTTGCTTCAAACATTTGAAGCAAGGTCAAGCTGCAGCACTTTACATTCTCACCAGCAATGCATGTTGGTTCCAATTTCTCCACAGCCTTGCCAACACTTGTTATTTTCTGTCCTTTTAATTATAGCATCCTAGTGGATGTGAAGTGGTAGGTCACTGTGGTTTTGATTTGCCTTTCTTTAATGACTAATCATGTTGAGCACTGGCCGTTTGTATATTCTCTCTGGGGAAAAATCTATTCAGTCTTTGCCTATTGGGTTGTCTTTGGGGCACCTGGGTGGCTCAGTCGGTTGAGCATCCAATTTTTGCTCACATCAGGCTCACTACCGTCAGCCTGTCAACGCAGAGCCTGCTTCAGACGCTCTGACCCCCTCTCTCAGCCCATCCCTCGCTCTCTCTCTCTCTCTCTCTCAATAAATAAATTTTAAAAAATGTGTAAGATAAATAAAATAAAATAAAATTTGGGTTCACTTTTTATTATTGAGTTCTAAGAGCTGCTTTTGGGGTTTTGTTTTTGTTTTTAAGTATTCAAGATAAAAGCCCCTTTTTGGTCATAAAATGTGTAAATAATTTCTCACATTCCGTGAGTTGTCCTTTCACTTTCTAAGAGTCTTTTAGCTCGTATACTTAGGTCTATGACCCATTGTGTATGGTGTAAGGGAGTAGTCTAAATGCATTCTTCAGCATGTGGATAGTCATATACCCCTTTTATTTTTAAGCTTCATCTTCTTTAGAATTCAACAAAAGAATAATAAAAATGAAGAGAAACTAATTTGAGCAAGCTTATACAAAAAAAGGAAACTTACTGGAAGACCACTGAGGTATGTTACGGTACTGAAAAATAACAGGGCCTCACACAGTACTGGAATAAGGATCTGGAAAGCTGTTAGGAATCCAGACAGTACTCTCCTTTCATCTTTTTTTCTGTCCATCTATACCGTTTCTCTCTGCAGACCAACTTTTTTCTGTTTCTCCACATACAATGCTGAAGATAACTGCAGACATGTTCCAAGTCTTCACCACTTCAGCTCCAGCAAATAGTTTAAAGACCAGCCATCATTCAGTCCCAATTCTAAATTCCCAGATCGTTTCAAATAATTCAGCTAGAGTCTCTTTTTCATCCCTAATCCGATTTATATGTAACCAAAAGGATTGAGGGCTGCAAGTAGGACACACACAACTTTAAGGGGAAGAATGACCACATCTGGCAGGATAAGAGTGAGTTTTCAGAGAAAGTGATTGTGAAAAATGGGCAGACCACCCCCAAAAGTGTCCTTGTCCCTTAAAACCTCTTGTAAAAATAGATAAGGCGGGGTGCCTCGGTGGCTTAGTCAGTTAACCGTCCAACTTCAACTGAGGTCATGATCTCACAGTTCATGAATTAAAGCCCTGCATGCTCACTGCTATCATTGCGGAGCCCACTTTGGATACTCTGTACCCTCTCTTTCTGCTCCTCCCTTGCTCACGCCCATGTGCACTCTCCCCCCTCAAAAAATTAACATTAAAAAAAAACAGATAATGCGAAGAAAAGCAACAATTGAGTTCTAAAATACCAAAGTATTATAAAAATACAGAAATTAGAAAATATTCAATATTTTTTGATACTTGAATAATCTAAAGAGCATAATCATTGCCAATCAAATGTTAGTCTTCCCAACCAAAAAAAGACTCATAAGGAAGACAATCTGAGTTTGGTGCTATTTGGCTGATGATTAGTCAAAGCCAAAGATGCTGAATTTACTGAGTGGCAATTTAGGGTCACACTGCTTAAAAATACACTTCACCAGCAAGCTCATAAACTTATAGAAAAGAATGCTTTAAAATGTGTAAGAAGGGGTGCTTGGCTGTTTCAGTTAGTAGAGCACATGACTCTTGATATTGGGGTCATGAGTTTGAGCCTTGTGTTGGGGGGTAGTTTACATAAACAATTAACTTTAAAAATGTGTAAGAAAATTATATACTCTAAGAACTCCTGGGATACTTAATTTGCAATTTAGAACAATACTTATTGTAACTAAAAGAATATCTGAATAAAATATTGCAAATCAAACACTATGATACAGTTTGCTTATTCCTTAAAAGATTATGTCTAAGCTAGGAAGGGAAAACACAAAAACCACTGCTAAGGACTAGTAAACATACCAGTCATTGAATCAGGTACTTTACATTCGCAATGACATTGCAAGGAAGGTATTATTATCCCTCTTACCATTGAAGAATATCATACTCAGAAATTAAATAATTTCCACAAGTTCTATCAGATAATTAAGCAGCAAAGTTGACAGAA